CCTGAAACCTGATTGAAATGGATCCAGAAAATTCGTTTCATCCAGCAGCGCCTGGAGTTGCCCAGCCACAACCCGCTCCAACACTTTGCCCAAATAAGGGAGGTTCGCTACTGGCCGGTAGTTAACCACAAGCCTTGGGTCCAGGTTAGGCTTTTTTAGGAGTGGACGAATTACCACTTCTTTCAAGGCGGTAGGGACCACTCCCTCTCTTTAGACACAGAGAAGGTACAGAGTAGTTAAGCAAACGGGAGGGATGTCTGGATAATTGACACAGCAATTCCAGAGGATGCCAGAGTTGAAAATAAAGAACTGGAAAAACAAAATACCTGGCAATTGAAATCTCTTGCTTGTGGATGAAACACATTTCAGTGGTCCCTGTAGTCATTGTGGCTTTGGGAACAATATCAAGAAAATTCACACAGTATTATGAACAATTGCAGATCTGAGAAATCCCATAATCAGAGCTACAAAAAACAGCAATATTAGGAACAACATACATACTGCACCGTTATCTACCCTGTTTCCCCGAAAACAAGACAGGGTATTATATTAATTTTTGCTCCAAAAACATATTAGGGCTTATTTTCAGGGGATGTTTTATTTTTTTCATGTACAACAATCTAGGTTTATTCAAATGCAGTCATGTTGTCTTCTTCTGGTTGCTGCACATTGGTGGAGGGTGGGGTTTCACTGAATGGGGGCTTATTTTGGGGATAGGACTTATATTACAAGCATGCTGAAAAATTATATTAGGGCTTAATTTCAGGTTTGGTCTTATTTTAAGGGGGAAAGGGTAACAGATACTTAGGTTTTTTATTAAATACCAGTCAATGTTTTTATAATTTTTACAGACTGTTCCTGGTGTTTTATTATTATTATTATTCCTGATCACTCCCTGGTGTGTAGTAGAGTAAAACTGCAAACGAAGAGATTGTATCAAGCAAAAAAGGAAGGAAGACCACGTATTGACATCAGCAAAACTAGTGATCAAAGAAAAATGGAGGAATTTGCCCAAGCGCTTGAGGAAACCCGTCCAGGCCCGGCTGATGCAAAGGCGTCTAAACAATGGGAACATTTCAAGAACGCTGTTTATAACACCACCTTGTCCACATTTGGCAAAATGACCAAAAAGACAGCCGGCTGGTTCGAAGCCCATTCGGAGGAGTTGATGCCAGCCATCGAGGATAGGAGGAGAGCTCTAGCAGCATACAAAGCCTGTCCTAGTGAGTACAACTTG